TTTAAACTACACTTGCACATAATTAAGTCGGACGAACATTTCAATTTTTATGGGGAAACAAGAAAACGAATACATGAAAAATAACGAAAAAATAGTGAGAATAAGGGGATCGGAAATTGATGAGGGCCATGATGAAGGGTAATATTGTCATCAGCAAATACGGAGAGAGAGAGAGAGAGAGATGAGGGGCAGAGCTCACCTTGGACGGAAGACCACCGCCGGGGGCGGCGTCGTCGAAAGATCTGGGCATCTTCGCGGCCTTCTCCGGCGAACTCGACCCCTCCTCCCCATCGCGGCTCGTCCAGCTCGTCGACGCGCTGCTGCAGCCATCCAGGGCTGAGAGCGGGCTTGGGCGCCGCCGCCTCCTGCTCTTCCCCGCCGTCGCCTCCCGGATCCGCGAGGCCTTGACGGTCCACGACCGCCTGATCCGCCTTCCCCAGTCCGGAAACTCCTCCGCAGGTAGCGGCGGCGGCAACGAGGACGACGGCCTCTCGTCGTCCTTCTCCGAGTGCGCCGTCTTCGTATCCGAGGGCTCAGAGGAAGGAAGCGACCCGGGCGCCGCGGTGGTCCGATCCGGATCGAGGCGGTGCTGCCATGGGATCAGCAGGATCCGCGGGTCACGGAAGCTGAGGAGCACGTCGGCGACGAGAGCATGATTACTCAACGCGTGGCGACACCAGGAGCCCGCGTCGTCGCCGTCGACCACCATGGGGCTCCGGGAAACCCTATGGGGAAGAAACTTGGGGAGGAAGAGAGGGAAGGAGAAGGGATGACTCGGGAGACAACTCGTCATCGTATTTATAGGCGCCCGATAAAAGTGTCAAGGGGCAGGAGCGGACTGGGAAACGAAGCCTTCCAAGTAAGGGTTTAAAATTCCCGAGTTAAGTCACGATAACTTTTGATACGGTTTGGATTAGTTGTGAGGTGGATAACGGAGATAGCGTTGATTGGTGTCCTTAAGCTCTGTTACGCCCATTCAGGTATCATATGCCGCCATAAAAATAAAGGTAAAATTATATATTCTTGTTTTTTATATTAATATTTTTTATGTGTCATTATAATTAATCTTAGTTGGTTAACTAACGTTGGAAATTGGAGACCTGAATGAAATAATATCGATCGTAATTAAAAATTAATACATAAGGGATATATATATATATATATATATATATATATATATATATATATAAATATATATAAAGGACATATGTGTTATATAATAATGTATATGAGCTGATATAGTATTTTTGTGATTTAGCATGGATGTTCAATGTACCTTGTTGACTCTCTAAACTTTACAAATGATTAAATTTAATATCATCAATCAATTAATATTCGATATATAATTTTATCTAATATTTAAGATAAAAAATAAAATAGACATCATCTTTCACTTACCTACTCGATAAGAGTTTAAGACAAATGCTTATAGATTATCCTCCTCTTGTGGTCCATATGGATAAAAGATCAAGGAAAGATTGTTAGAAATAGTTAGAGGTGATCTCTCTGTTAAATATTTATAAAATATTTTATCCTTTTACAGTCAAATATAAAAGCTCATCTTCAACACAATGAAAAAGGGGATCACTTTTTAATCACTTGCATCCACACTCACTTATCTCAGGTTACTAACTTGCGCATCGAAGAGATCAGATTAGAAAAACTCTCATGACCTGAGTCTTCGTGTAAGTGACACCTCAAGAGCTTGACATTTTCTCCTCGAAGACATCTCAAACAACTCTATATATGAATCTAAACTATATTGGATTGATTAGGACATCAAGGATTTCTTCCGAAAATATTTTTGGCATTAGGAGTGTCTAATGTTGTAGGAACGATCACCTGTCAACCCTATCAATGAACACTCAAGCGAAAAAGTTTTGCCCTAATTAATAGTACTTTCACCCAAGGGGCGATAGCCACCCATTCCACATATGGGTGCATCTACCTTGGCGCAGACATTAATGTGATATTGATGTTTATTTAATGACCCAAATCTCTCACCCGTAAGGATAACTCCGAGCCACTTGCTCGTCCTTATCGAGATGTTCTTGAATCTCACTCAACAAGTGCATATGCTAACAAGTATGATATAGGTCGTTGCTCCACTTTTACTTTAATTAACCCAACAAGTGATGATAGTAGCTCAAATTACGATCCCTGACTTAATCAACACCGACATTTGTTGAGGTTTCTCGACCCGACATGGTATCGACATCCCAAGAGCTCTCGAGATTTATCGAAGTACCGATCGAGGGAGCATTTTGGTCTTCCAATCATGGAATTCAATGAACCGTATCACCACTTTATCCCTATCTAAATCTAAGGCTCAATTGGTAGATATAATAGAGAATTTCCTATGGATACAACTACTAGATTGATGTTTGGAGGAGATACGATGAGAGTTTCAACAACCGAAGGGAGAAGCGTCTGTCGACCTCACCTTGGGTCAGTCGTCATTCACCTAAAAAATTCAAAACCAATTCTAGCGAACTTCTATCTGCTATCCTTTGAAGTGTTCAATAGGAATGCCGACTCGATGAAGCACATTGTAACTTTTAGTACCCAAATATCATTGTATGGTACTTCGAATGCTAAGTGATGCTGCCACCTTATTGCATGGTGAAGCATCATCGTGAGGGGAGAGAGTCCGTCATGAGAAGGTGTATCGCCACTACCATCTACCGTGTGGACTTCTGCTAGAGAGAAGTTTGCGAGAGCTTCTTCATCCAGGCAAACTAAGATCTGTGTTTTAGGGGATATACGAGTTCTCTTATATGAGAATGTCTTATTCCTCGATGAGGTTTTGTCGTTTTGAGTTTTATGCTCTCGATCATCTCTTGGTGATCCGATGCTATTTTGTTTGGGAAATAACTTTTATTTTACTTATTTGTTGCACATGTGATGCTCCCTGATGTTTCTCAATAGAATTAAGGAATATACTATGAAATAGATTGATTTCATTCATTGAGGAGATTGAAAGATTTCCCTCAATCACGCATTTAAATGACATAATCAGATCACCTCTTCAAATTTGTTATTGATTGAGAACATAAGTAGGAATATTATTCTATATATGCCTCCATCATGATCTTCTATTAGAATTCACGAGAATTGACTCTCGATGAGGGGGGGGGGGGAATGAGTGGGCTCTCAGAAAATATAAAAATGATTGATGTACGAAGACAATCTTTGAGAGCATAAAAGTGATCGATATGTAAAGAGTAAAAAAAATTTGCCATGATAGGAGGCACAAGATAAAATATATTCGAGGTGTGTAAGTCAAAAAAACTCAATCTGCATAAGAAGAAACTCAACTACGGTGGAAGGCACGTGACAAAATATGCTCGAGACATATGAGTTAAAAAAACTCGTATAAGAAAAAACTTATCACGATAGGAGATATAAGATAAAATATACTCAAGACACATTAGTCAAGAAAACCCGATCCACGTAATAAAAAACTAATCACATCAAGAGATACAAGACAAAATGTGTCTAAGACGCATAAGTTTGGAAAACCCAACCCATATAATAAGGAACCCACGATGGCATAGGCACAAGACAAAATGTGTCCGAAGCGCATGAGTTAGGAAAACTCGACTCGCGTAAGAAGAAACTCACCATGATGAAAAATACAAGGGAAAGAATACGTGAAGCAGGGTGGTCGAGCACCAACCCCTTTACTCAAAGTGGGTAGGCCATTGCCTAACATAGCTTATCGCTCAAGGTGGATCCCTCGACAATGGGAGGGGTAGGTTGGCAATGGATCATCACCAGTAGCATTGGCACCCCTTGTTTACGACACTCACCAAGCAAGGGAGGTCGAGAAACCCAACCCCCTCCTTTGCCCAAGGTATAGAGGATTGAAAACTCGACCCTCCTTTTTCATAGTTGTTGAGTCGCAGAGGTTAAAAAATTGATCCTCGTTGTCGACCTCCACACCCAAAGGAGGGTCAGGTTTACCTCGATAAGGATTGATCTACTACCAAGAAGGGCCATCGGCGAGGAGTAACCCCTTGCCGAGGGAAGAAGGTCGAGCGCCTACCTCTATCGGTGTCTACCTAATGCATGGGGTCGAAGAACCAATCGAAGAGACGTAAGTTAATGTGTTAAATGAATTAGACAATGCACTTCGTATTTCTCTTGCGATAGCTCTCAAAGTAAACAGGGAGGACAAATGATATGAAGAATATCGTCAGTTAACCATTATCTAACACGTGACCTTCACATGATGTTTAAGATGGAATGAGAAGACAAATGTCACCCTCCACTTGTTTGGCCATATGGACAATGGTCCAAGATAAATGATTATAGATTATCCCTCCTTATCGCACATATAGATAAAAGATCAAGAGGAGGTTGTTAGAGGCGGTAAGAGTTGATTTTCTCATAAAATATTTCATAGAATATTCTATCTTTTTACAATAAGGTATAAAAGCTCATCTTCAATGCAATGGAAGATAATATCATTTTTTTACCACTCGCATCCACATTTGGGTTATTAATTTTAGTATTAGAGAGATCGAGTTTGTAAATTCTTTTTGACCTCCATCTTAGTGTAGGTAAAATCTCAAGAGTTTAGTGTTTTCACCTTGGATAATTTTACACACACAAGTTTTTATCACGTCGGACTGGTCAGGATATTAATAACTTCTTCCATCATAATACTTATTATTCATTATAAATTTGTGAAGATGAATTGATTTCATACATGACATTATATAAATTAGGAAACCCGTACGTTGGATAGCAAATATGGTTGTGCTAACCAAATTTAATTTAATAAATCGACAAGTAGTTCCTCTAGAGAATTTTTAATTGAATCCAAATATACAATTATCTCCACATGAGGATTGTTAGGGAGTGTTGATGAAGCCGTATCGATTACGAGTTTGGCACGCGGCTTTATGATGACACGATGGATGTTGATATGGGACCCAACAGTTCAACTGGGCCCCGTGGATTCATGAGTTTGGCACGCGGAAAAGCCCCATCTCATTAAGGGCCGAACTAAAAACCCTAACCCTTGCTGAAGACCAGATTACGGCCGACGAACCCGGAAGAGAGGAGGCGCGGCCATGGCGGGCGGCAAGATCGAGAAGAAGCGGCATCAGCAGGCGCCGCAGCAGCAGAGGTGGGGCGGCGGCGTCCCCTTCGAGAAATCGAAGGGCCAGCATATCCTGAAGAACCCCAAGCTGGTCGAGACCATCGTCCAGAAGTCCGGCATCAAACCCACCGACGTCGTCCTTGAGATCGGCCCTGGTACCGGGAATCTCACCAAGAAGCTCCTCGAGGTTGCCAAGTCCGTCGTCGCCGTCGAGCTCGACCCTCGCATGGTCCTCGAACTCAACCGCCGGTTCCAGGGTACCCCTCACTCCAGCCGCCTCAAGGTATCTATCTCCTTTACATCGATTTCAGTGTTATCTACCCTTTTATGTTTATACCTTAGCGCCTTAAGGGAGTTTTTGGATCGTGCGTGCTCAAATTTGTTCCAGTTTTGTTTATGCGTTTGTGGTCTTAAGGTAGTCCTTTGCATTTGAGACCACAATTTTTACATTATTGGGTTAGAATTGCCTAAAGATTGCACCTTGTAAATCCTAAAATTCTTTAGACATCAAGTTCTAGGCCTGCTAATTGAAAAAAGAGAGAGTCTGTAATGTGATTAACTGACTGCTTATTTTTTGCTTAAAAAGAAAGAATGTGATTCTTATGAAGGATAAAAATTGTGTTTTACTGATAATCTGGGCTGCCTAAAACCTGTGAGGTTAACACATCCTTATCACCCATCTGAATTGGAGCATGAGTGGTTTAGCGCAAGATGTTTCCTTCCTTGCATAGTGATTCTGTAGGCAATTGAGAAAAACAAGGCAATTATAAGTTTGATTGTTTGTTGAAGAATAGGCATACATATGGGAGCACCAAGCTTGAGTTGTATAGTCCAGATTTGTTTTCCACACTTCATCAAGGATGCATTATAAGTAAATGATCATACATGAATTTGAGTTCTGGTAAAAATAATTGTTCATCTCTAGTGCGAGAGATTGAATTATCTAAGAATTCAATCTTAGAGAAAGATTGATTTAAGAAAGATTAAACTAATGTCAGGTATCATGTTGTTGATACATCCAAAGTATGGACAAAGTATGTTGCACTTTGCTGCTTAATTTTTTTTTATACTATTAATCAGCAGACGTAATTGTTTCATATCAGCAGACAATTGTCTTAAATCTATCTTGAATCATGTAGGTAATTCAAGGAGATGTCCTAAAGTGTGAGCTTCCGTACTTTGATATTTGTGTGGCGAATATCCCTTATCAGATTTCATCCCCTCTAACGTTCAAGCTGCTAGCCCATCATCCAGCCTTCAGATGTGCCGTCATAATGTTCCAACGTGAGTTTGCTATGAGATTGGTTGCAAATCCCGGTGATAATCTCTACTGTCGACTCTCTGTGAACACTCAGCTCCTTGCACGTGTCTCCCACCTCCTCAAAGTTGGCCGGAACAATTTTAGGCCCCCGCCAAAAGTCGACTCCTCTGTTGTGCGCATAGAACCTAGGCGACCACTTCCGCCTGTTAGTTTCAAGGAGTGGGATGGACTCATGCGCCTTTGTTTTAATCGGAAAAACAAGACCCTGGGATCGATATTTAGACAGAAAAGTGTTCTTTCATTGCTGGAAAAGAATTACAAGACATTGCAGGCTTTGCAACTTACCCGGAAGGAACAAATGGAGGAGGATAAGGTGTCTTCAGAAGATGTAGCAGTTTTGGCCAATATGGTTGAAGACCTTGGCATGGGTAATAATAGTGATGAGAAGGATGATGAAGAAATGGAGGTAGAAGACACGGATATGGTGGGGGAAGTGAGCGAGGGCTCCAGTTTTAAAGACAAAGTGTTGGGGGTCTTGAGGCAAGGGGATTTTGCGGAAAAGAGGGCAGCCAAGCTGACACAGGTAGATTTCTTGTGTCTGCTGTCTCTGTTCAACAAAGAAGGGATTCATTTCTCTTGACTGATTATGAGGACGATTTTCTTATGGCTGTAATTTTTCTTCCTACTTAAAACAGTTTTTGTGTAAGTGGATGTTTTGGATAAGTTTGTCCTTCCCAGGGAGATAGATTGTTCCCTCATTTCTTTATTGCACATTTGCTTATTTCTGTATTTGGTTAACTGCATAAAAATACAAGAATATTTTGCCTCCTGATGAATGAGCAATTTTCATGTGCATAGGCATATTACAGAATTCTGATGATGAGATGAGACTTTGCAATTGAATGTTTGACAGGGTAAGGAAGCATTAGGACCTTCCAAGTATTCTGTGTTTTTGTTCTGATAATGTTTCTGACAGTATGTGGAATTTCTCATATTTAAATATAAATCAGAATTTAGATTAGTTATTTTTTCTCAAATGATTTATCCTTGATGGTAACCCAACCATCAGTGATCTTGTGGTGCTTTCTAATAGCATCTCTCTCAATTTCGGCAAAATTATCAACACTAGCAGGCATGATCATGCGGTTGGTATGATTAGTGATAAGCTTAGTGACTCGAAGCAGGATTAATAAGCTCTCTAGGTAAGATTCAGCATAAGTGCATGATCTACCTATTAGTTCAACACCAACTCTGATCCTAAGGGAATCCATTGGGAGTAAGAAGAACCAACTTTCTGATTTCTAGTGATGGAACAATGGAACAAACAAAACATGTATCTCGTTCCACAACCGCAATGAGAAAGAGTGACATTACTTCTTTATTATCCCATACCCTAAACTTAAAAAAATGATATTAAAATTTTTATAATTATGAAAGTGAAATATTTTACTCAATTATCCGGACGTCATTGGCTTTACCAACAAAAGATACATGAAACATTTTACTCAATTTATTTTGACGTCATCGGTTTTACCAATAAAAGATAACAATATATATAGTAATGACACAAAAATGATGGGCAAAAATATAAATTTAACATTCCAGTTATGTTTTCTTTTGTTATGTCATAATTAAAATATTTTAATCGATTATTATGGTGGCAGACGACGATACCGCCGAGGGTCATTGGTGGTTATTATGGTGGTGGTCAACGAAAATGATGCGATGATCGATCTTGTTGATGCCGATTTGAACACCGACAATCAAGGCGGGGGCGACCGTCGCGACAATGGTGGTAGTTTGATGATAGTAGTGGTGGATCTCGATGATATTCTTGAAGACGGGCAGGGTGGAATCGTGGAGGTGGAGCTTGAGGAACTTCCATGGCTTCTTGTAAGGGAAGGAGGAGGAAGAAGAGAGAGAACGACGACGGGAGGTGAGGCAAAGGGAGAGGAGGAAGAGGACAATAGTCGCTTTGCATCATCCTGCATATTCATCGTGCCCGTTTTGCATTTGCATCGGCACCACTCTGCATTTATGTCGGTAAGAGGTGAGGCATTTATGCCGGTGTTATGCCGCTCTGCATTTGCATCAACAGGACGTAAGGCTTTTGCCTCACTTCCTGCTAACATAGATGCAGAGCGGTGCCAACATAGATACAAGATGATGTAGAGTAGTCATCGTCCTCGTTCTCTCCTTTTGCATTTTCTCTCGTTACCCACAGCGTCATTCTCGTCAACTACCACAACAACAACCATCCACGACCCTCGATGATATTATCGCCCACCACCATCACAACAATTGACTAAGAAATTTTAATTATTATATAATAAAAAAACATAATTGAGATATTAAAACCACATTCTTGCCCATCTTTTACTTATCATTCCTACATGTATTGTATCTTCTGTCAGTAAAGTCGATAATATTAAAATAAATGAGGCTAAAGGTGTTACTTTCATAACTATAAGAATTTCAATATAAATTTTTTAAATCGTGGATTGTCAAAGAAATCTAACTATAATTAGCACTATTAGGGCTTGAGGTAGTTCATTTCCTTTCGTTTTGATTGCTTATGAGCAAAGTATGTTCTTACCCAAATATATTTCACAGTGGAGTCCTTGCCAACGGTAAATAGCTAGTATAAGACCTATGTTAGAGATTAAAAAAAAAAGTGGATTAGATTAGGCTAATTCTAATTTGTGTTTCCTTGTCGGTTGCTCTTTATTTGGATCAGCAAACAACGTGTCCTTTGACATGTATCTTATTCTTAATACATATTAAACTCCTCTAGACGAGATGATCTAATTATTTCTAACTTTAGATAGTCATCCGCCGTGAAGGAAGAGAGCAAACGGACACATAATAAGCCAAAGGAGGATTAGTGCCTTAACCAAACGTCTTGTAAATTAGTGAAATCATTATGGTTGTTGAATGTGTCCAATACCTGTTCCTGAGTTTTGTATCACCGATGCTTCATTCTTAACCTCTTTCACATCACAAAATATATGGCACCTGCATTAGATTAACATGATAAATGTCAAGTCTCTTAAGCATCATCCTAACTTATAATGGAGCGGAAAGAATGGTTCTTACTGACGTAGGGGGATTGTTGTTTCCTGCATGCCAAGGCTCCATATGCTTGTCCAAAAGCAGCTATAGGATTAGCTGATGCGTGAATCCTTCCTTTCGATACCTGCTTCCTTGAACAGATCAAAAGATTTGGATCGAGAAGGTAGCCCCTGATGACCCTTTTGCTGCATTGTAGATGAAAGGATTCATGTCATGTGTGATGCAGATCAATAAGAACAATAATAGAAATAAAAATCATGATGATGATTTAGGCCAACAGGCAATTAGCAGATGTGGCCTGTCATCAAGTTGGCAGTATCAATATCAAACCAGGTAGGTGATGGTGTTCATTTTCCTGAGCTAAGATTCCAACCACTGCATCCCCAAGGCACACACGGAATATTACCTCTCTCTCTCTCTCTCTCTCTCTCTCTCACATTTTTTTTTCTCTCCTTAATATATATGTATATATATTCAGATCAGGGCATAGTGGTCTTGACATGTGTGCACAGGGTTTCTCCTAGGAGGAAATGGACGGAAACTATGACATTGAAATCATTAGGGTTTGCTTTGGGAATGAGAGTTGAACTTTGGTTGGCTCAATTATCTCTCATAGTTGTATTGATTGGGTCCATTTTGATCCGAAACACTATTTATCTATTGAAGATTCCAAACTTACATGCTTCCATAAGAGCATGTAATTGTTTGTCTCAAAACTATTTATCTCCTTCATCCTACCCTCAATTTTTTCTCATCTTAATTGTCTGCTTGTTTTAGTCAAATTAATCTTATGGTATGTATTTTTTCCTAATTCAAAACAGATTACTAATCAAGATAAAAAAAAAAGTGGAAATAGCTTAAACTTTTGGGATTAAAGTTTAGAAGAAACTTTTGTGGCCTGCTTTTGGAGGAGACACACTCATGGGAACTGTGAGTGCAAGCTGTTACAATGGCTCAGAAAGTAACAGTTGTTGAGTGAATGCAGAGTACCATGTATGATCAAGGCAGCCTGCTGTTGCTGCATGATCTCAGCAGATTCCCAAAAGAAAAATTATGAGCCATAATACAAAGACTATATGTACTTCTTGTCCAATGTGGACAGTGTCATCTTAGAATACACAGCTCGTGAGGCTGCTGAACAGGTGAACATGTTGATGCCAACATTGCTCCTTTTACCTGTGTATAGTTAAATTTATACATGTATGTGTGTATATAAATATATCTTATTATCAATTACAAAAGGCTCTTTGACAGATATGTAGGCCACATTTATTTATTTATGTAACTAAAACCAATCAATAAGTAGAAATGACTTTCTTTTGGAAGGATAAAATGATGCTCAATGGCATGCATGCAGTTTTAAAGTGATGTGCTAATCTCTACATCTACATGATAATATGTAGGATATAGCTTTCAGATTCTCACATCTCAATCATTTATTCATCACATCCTGTGTTTTTATGTTGGTCAAATCAATTTTATGATGTCTTTCATTTCAAAATTGACAAATGATTCAGATAAAAGGTAAGAGTAACATGTGAAAAAACAAAATCAAACATTCAATATTTTCTATGAATTAATCTACCATGATATATATATATAACAAGTACTAGCTATGCTGAAATAGAGCATAATTCTTATCCACATGGAGGTTTTAGATTTGAAACATTCATGAATGAGTCTAATTATATATTTTCTAAAGAAATATTCTTGTTATTGTTCCAACTCATATTTGCCAAAATTAGATATGGTATTTGGAAAAAAAATGTTAAATTAATTAAGGATTTCACTTAGAAAGAAAATGTTTCATATTAGTTTACTCTCTCTTTCTCTCGCTCTAGTCTCATGTAACTGCTACATGATCAATGTGAATCGACATGCTAAATAGCATTATACCTGCATATGGGTTCTCTATATCCCTGTAATTAATAGTGTTCCCTCTAACCTCCCTCACCTTGATGCTTTCTATCCCTTCCTCTTGTTCTTTGCTTATGTAACTGCAATATGATCTGGGTTTTTGTATCTAAACCCCACACATATACCTGGTCTCCTATTCTCCGTGAAAAGTGTCCCTATCCTTCCCACTTTTAAGTTAAAAAAAAAAAGGAAAAAATCAACCAAGATTACCAATATAGATCCTATTTCTTCAAACAGGGAAAGAGAGAGAGAGAGGAGGAGGAGGAGGCAAGGGATTCAAACTGGGTTACTCACCTTGGTTTCGTGATTTGGATCTCCTACCCATCCTGCCGCTACTTTATCTTCCCCGCTTCCGTCGGAGACCTCCTCGAGACTTCTTTCTTGCAGAAGAGGGGACATGGGGAGGCCGCCGGCACCTCTTCCTCTTCCTTGTAGTTGGATCCTTGGCCTCTTTCTGTTCATGTCTCTCGCCGAAGCCGACGCCGAAGGGTCTCCGGCATTGTCCCCCCTCTCCTCCCTTCGAAACCAGGCCTTTCCTCTGTCCTCCTCGTTCCTGGCGCCAGCACCTGCAGGTACTCCCGTTCGTGGTCTCTTTGGTGCTCACGGTTTACTTGGTTCGGAGTTCACCGGGTGTCGGCGTCGACTCCCTCCATCTTTTTTTTCCCTTTTCTACTGAGAAAGATCCCATTTTTCCTTGTGATTTGGTAGCTTTAGATCATGGCGTTTCAAGATCTTGTCTCTATGATGCTATTCTGAATTTTATTCCATCTTTTCTCTCCTGCATCTTGCATCAGAGTGTTCAAGTTCCATTCTTTTCTTGCTTGGCTTCTCAGTTCCTTCATCCTCTCGATGTTCGATTGTTTTTTTTTTCTCATCCGACTCGAAAAATTAAGTTTTTTTAGAGATCAACCTTCAATGATGGTCTTATTTTTGGAGAGCAGTGATGCAGATCCACCATCACCATTACCACAAAGAATTGACCGTAGCAATCGTGCTCGCCTCCGTCGCCGTTCTAGCAATCATATCATCCACTTTTTGTGCTTGGTTCTTTTGGCGGCGGAGCCGCCAAATGCTCGACTCCAAAGACATTGAGAGTTCAGGTTTGTTTTCTGACATCCTTAGCATATACGAAACCGTGGAAACTGTTCTCTTTGGATGTGTATTGCACTCTTGACAATTCCAGCATCCACACAACGCAACAGACGCTGCTGGTGGACTCACATTTGGCCCAGTCTTGAGCAAGTTGAACTCCTTCAAGATGACGAACAAGAAAACATTACTGCCAACCATCGACTATGCATCACTGGAGTCGGCAACCAACAAATTCAGCGTGAGTAATATCTTGGGGGAAGGAGGATTCAGCCATGTGTATAAAGCTACCTTCAACAGGGAGGTTTTTGCTGCAGTGAAGAAACTAGATGGCTGCGGGCAGGATTGCGAGAGAGAATTCGCGGTTAGAATCTCAAGTACCGTCGTCTTTCTCGACCTCGGTTCCTGTTCTCTAGTTTGATTATATGCCTTGACTTCTACCAGAATGAAATTGATTTGCTCGGAAGAGTTCGGCATCCCAATATAGTTCCTCTTCTGGGTTACTGTGTTCATGGAGAAACCCGGCTGCTCGTTTACGAGTTGATGCAAAATGGATCTTTGGAAACACAGCTGCATGGTACATTTCTTATTGTGTTCCAGTTGGAATGGCATGAAGGCAGAAATCTTGAGTGTCTTGTTTGTTTTATATCTGCAGGACCATCCCATGGATCAGCTTTAACTTGGCATCTTCGCATGAAGATTGCACTTGACATTGCAAGGTTTAGATCTCAACACGGCTTCTAAATATCATTTTTTCCCATGTATTAATCATTCATATGATCTGGCAAACAGAGGATTGGAGTACCTTCATGAGCATTGTAACCCACCGGTGATTCATAGAGATTTGAAATCATCCAATATACTCCTAGATTCGGACTTCAATGCCAAGGTAAATGCAATCTTTAAACAATTTTTCTTAGCATCTGCGTCATCTGCCATCTTTCAGTAATGAATTGCTTCTGGTTACAGATTTCGGACTTTGGCCTTGCAGTGCTTAGTAGAAACCATAACAAAGGCACTTTAAAGCTTTCTGGCACTCTTGGATATGTAGCTCCAGAGTACCTTTTAGATGGTACTCGATTCCTCTTGTTCTGTTTCTGTATATTTTTCTTTCTCCTGCTAACCACAGGTGTTAATTTGATGTCAAAACATAGCAACTGATATTGTTAGTGATCGTACTAAGAAACCAGAAGCTACATAATGGATGTAGGACAGAAATAATTCTGAGTTCTTTCAGGTAAGCTCACTGAGAAAAGTGATGTCTATGCATTTGGAGTTGTGCTGTTGGAGCTTCTGATGGGAAGAAAACCAGTTGAAAAGCTGGAATCATCTCAGTGCCAGTCAATTGTGACTTGGGTATGGCAGAAATACCAGCAAGTTTTTGCATCTATTCCAAGACAGTGCTCAATGGTTTTACTTGTTTGTCTTCAGGCCATGCCCCAGCTCACTGACAGATCGAAAGTTCCAAATATAGTAGATCCAGTTATCAGGGATACAATGGATCTGAAACACTTATACCAGGTGTCTTTTTCTCTTGATTCATACTTCCCATAAGCAGATTTTTGTTTTCTCTAACAAAGATGGTGGCATGGATCAGGTTGCTGCCGTTGCTGTACTCTGTGTCCAGCAGGAACCTAGTTACAGGCCATTGATCACCGATGTGCTTCATTCCCTCATTCCTTTGGTGCCAGTAGAGCTCGGTGGAATGCTAAGAGTTATACAGCCAATACTGACTACAAATCAAGAATAATCTGATTATGGATCAACACGGTGGTACGGCAATCACCTGGACGTAGCAAGCCTGCTACCACAGCAGTTTCTACTATGGGTTTCTTTCCCTATTCTCCCAGTTCAAGTGTCTTCGATTACCTGCAAAAAGCTTTTCAGTTTTTGACTTCTTCAAGTGGTAAAGTTCAGAGGGAACAGCTTGAGAGGAAAAGTCTTTTTTTCCTTGAGATGTGTTGTAAAAACCAATGTAGATTTAAATTTTTGCACTCAGGAACAAATTGGTGCCTGCCAGATCTAATTAATTTGAATATGAATTTCACAGAACAAAATTCAAGAAAGGTCGAACTATCACACTCGACATTCTTGATTTGTTGGATCAAAGAGTCTCATATTAAAAGTTTAGCAATTCACATGCATATGCTTCGAATTGGGCAAACACCCATTGAGCAATCTCCCAAAGTCACAAGTGAGATAATTTAACCTGAACTCAGAAGTTGGAATCTTTTCTATTTGGCATCTTGACATTTAGTAATCTCCAACTATAAATCTGGGACCAAGTGTGTTATAATAGGCATATTGATAGTATCCATGACTCAACCATTTAAGATTTGCTGTGCTCACTGCTACTTCGAGTGAAAACAACAGCAAATTACAAGTCTAGCAAGTTCTGAGATGTGGAAGGTTAATGCTCTAAGTTACCAATTATTTTATATTTTTTGTGACAATTTTTTATTGATGGAGAGATAATTATCTATTAGGATTCCTCTTAACATACTGATTTTGTTATGTCAGAGGGAAAACATGTAATCACATTGAACTTCTATATCATTCATCTTGATACTCGAAATTTAATAATTGGCTAAGCTAGTTGCTTTATTATAAAATATTGCTCAGATTTAGATTTAACAAGTCCCTCATCAGTGAGGCAAAGACAGTGCCATATGTATCAATTTGCAGAGAATAATTCAGCAGTCACAGTCACAAAATAGCTGGCACAAAGATTGGTTGATTGGTTGGGAGATTGCAGTCACAGACATATATTCATATTGAACCTTCAATCATATTACTAGTAGACACTATACAGGGTCTGATTGGTTGAGACAATTGTCCCCTATTGTTCAGATGTAGTTTGTGTCCGACATCCACAATGTGCTGAACCCCTTTAGGTAAAGGTAGGCATACTTGATTGGCTTTGGAAATTTTAAAGGTTCATGCACTGAAACAAAACAAAAAGCAGTGCTTTTCTCATAGTGTATCGCCCCACCTGCTTGAATAGTAGTCAAGTGCAGGCATCAAAACACGTGTGCCAACCTTTAAACTGACTACCTGGTTGAAATGCTAGTAAAGGACAGTTCTAAATGCATTAGCTAATGAATGGGTAAATGGTGAGATTTACCTTTGTGTGTGTGTGTGTGTTGATCTCCAAAGCACAGGTTGTATCCTCTTTGTGAAGCAATGCATTAACTTTTCTGTTTGGAAAAAAAAGAAAGAGAGATATGGCGACATTATAAGTTTAAAGTAAGTACATTTTTCATCTGTCATTTAATCCTTATGTTACCTGTTCAAGAAAAATTAAAAGTACCAAAAAAGGTGGAAGTGTGTTTCAGTTCTTAATTATCCCAATATAAATAAAGGATATACCTGAATATTATGATTTAAATATCATGTAAGGCTGATTAGGAAATATTTCATATGAATCTTAATGGCTATTCTAGTTTAAGCTTCAAAAGATTGAGATGATTTAGCTCCTTGGAAGGTCAATATAATTATTTAACCTTTGCTATTTGCTGACTATTGACATAATCCAATAGTTTTTGTTATTACCATTTTATTGATTTATGCGATTGAAGTTGCAGTCCAGTGCATAAGCAATTGGGCAATTAACCAAGAAAAAGACTGTCGTAACTACAAATGTTTAGGAATACCTCCCTGCTCTATTTCAAGTGATTGTCCAATCATGCGATTAGTCCCTCGCTCTTTTGTTTGGTTCAACCAACCAAAGAAAACGAACACGCGTCCCCAAAACCCTAAGAAGAAGGAAGACGACGAGAATGACCAACCAAAAGCTACAAGAAGAAGACGAAGAAATAAGGTCAATCAAAACTAAGCTCAAGAAGGAGACACCTGATGGTGTTGCCGCTCCTCATACGGATCCATCGAGGGATAGGGCGGTTCTGGCCAAACGTCTTGTGTTTCGGCTACAGAGATCAGCAAAGGCGAGAAGGATTACAACGCGGTGGAATCCGTAGAGAAGTAATCGAAGCCCTAAGAGAGGGGAAGCGATACCATCTTTCCGGCATCTGGTGTTCCTGTCGGTGAATGCCGTGCAACGCAATCCCTCGCGACGACGAAGTGGCGGGATGTATGGAAGCGCCTTTCCTTTTATACGGGGAGAAGACTGGGAAATTTGGGTGATAATTGGGCTTCTAATTGAGCAGATTGGCCCAAAGTTATATGTTGGGTTCCAATCACAAGCTTTCGCTAACTTAGATGTATATCCCTTAAATCATTATATTTCTTGCATATATTTATCAGATTATAGAACTTAATCGAACAGTTGTTTAATTAGA